CAGATTATTTAGTAATTAGACTGTGTTGTTGCATATGGATTTGGTCGCTTCATATAGATTTGGCTGCCTGTAAAAAACACATTCAATGTTCAAAAACTAAGGAAGTGTCAAAAAGCAGTGATCATACTGATCAATAAAACAGACAACTACTGCACAAATTCTAAATCATGCTTCTGAATGATTCACTGTGAACTGTTTTCATAACTTGAATTTACTACTTTTGAAACAACTAACCATTCAGACTTTTAAATTATACAAGATTTAGATACAACTGACAGTCCCTCTCAGCAAACAGCACTGTTATTCCTCATTAACATGCTCTTAGCAGGTCATATGGAATGGAATAGTAGCTATTTTCCAGGCAAAGTTATTCTTGACATGGAGGCATCCAACTTCAAGAATACCACATTTCTGCCAGATAATAAGCACAAGTCTATAAAAGGAAAATCAGCACTTTAGAAGAACAAGGGAGCAATAGAAGGAAAAAAAGAACCCAGAAATTGTTTTAAGACTGGTTCATCCCCACATACATATCTCCACACACACACACACACACACCAAGAAAGAAAGTCTCTCTCTGCAACACACTGCTGTCCTTCCCCATGCCCAGTAAGAACAGTGCTGTGATCTGCTTTGAGATCCTGTCTGGAAAGGAACTGTACACATGGACTGTCAAAGTGTATCATGCCCATGTCTTCACTGTGCGCCCTGACATAACTTAGAGGCAGCACCTAGTGGCACCAACACCAGAGCAAGTCTGGCCAATCTGGTGCACCCTGCCCAAATCACCAATTGCCAAATGATCTCCAGTGGCAGCTGCTACACAGGCACTTTTTCCAACACTTAAACCCAGCAATGTCAGTGGCCTGCCCTTTCTGTGAGGAAGAGGTGGAGACTTTTTCAAGCCTTCCTAGACTGCCTCCAGCTGCAGCGACTCTTTGCTGTCCCCAGCACCCTCTTTGGTATGCTGGACTTGGACTTCTCCAAGACTATATACTTCTTCTCTATCCTGCATCAAGTGACCAAGGCCAACTTCCTCCTGGGCCAAGCCAAGATGGCTCCTCTGAAAAAGCTGCAAAAACCAGCTTGTAGGGCCCAACTCTAATGACACCCTCCAACTCTTCCCCTTCCTGGTCTGGGTGCATGTCCCACTTAAATCTGAACACTTCACCTTGCAACAAAATGTGGACCAGTTTGTGTCATGTTGGGCCAGCAAAGGGGCCCTCTGCAAAGTGGAAGCTGGACAGCTAGTCCTACATGTGGAATCCCATCAGGGGTATGGGGGAAAACTGTTTCAATCTCTAGCGACATGGTGTTTTCTGGTATTAATAACAAGTATTTCATGTCTGAGAGGGCCACACACCTTTTCACTTACACCATTTGTTTGTATAATAAAGTTTTAAAAAGTTAAAAAAAAAAAGTTTAAGTCTGTCCCTCACTTTCCCCTCCTCCCGCCCACACATACCATATGCAGTAGAATAGTCAGGGGTGGCCAACCTATGGCATATGTATCAGAAGTGGCACAGGCCTTTGTATATAACATACAGCAGATCAGTGAGGAGACAGGGAGCACAGTGGTGGGCAAGGTAGGAAGCAGAAAGCAGAGCAGCAGACTGGGAAGGGGAAAGGGATCCAAGCGGCACTTGTGGAGAGCGCATGGCTAGAAAGGTTAGTCCCCACTGCAGAAGAGCACCGATTATCCAGAAGTCAATTATCTAGAATATCAATTAACCAGAAGATTCCCTGACCTTTCCCTTCATTCTCTAACTCACGCAGAGAGTGGCTGGCTCCTTTACAGTGCCTGACCTATGATGCTCTGTTTTAGAGCCCTGTGGGGACCCTGCTGCCACAGCTGTTTGGGTAGCCTCTTCACAGATTCCCACCAGAATCTGGGCAGCCCCAAGACTCTCCAAGGCTGCTCAAGTCATGGCACAGATTGCCAGAAAAGCTAGTATCTGATATGATGGTACCACCAATTATTTCAGGTAAGTGTATTCATTTATCCATAGTAGAATATTACTTAAGATACAGGAATATGAATTTCCACCCTTGACATGTACGCACCCAAAAATCAGGCTTTCAGCCACCAGCATCCGCTGGGTCTGCACATTTGTCCCGAGTGCTCTCATGCTCCCATAACAACATAAGAACCAATACATGACTAACCACCACTCGGCACTCCTTCCTAACTGAAGGATCCAACAGCATAAGAGGACTCTAAAGGAAAAGAACATCCCAAAGTACTCCAGTAACTGCATGGGTAAGTATTCTGTCTTTCTTCTTTGAGTACTTATCCATATTATACACACACACGCACATACGTGTGTGTGTGTGTATGTGTGTGTGTGTGTGTGTGTGTGTACACACACACACACTCCCAATAAACTCAAAGAGGTACTCCTTGCTACCACCAGCATATGTCTGTGTGTGCTTACGTCCCAGACAAACCTGAGTCTGAGACTGTCTTAATAAAGCAGTCAAAACAAACAGATATTAACCCCCAATTAACTATACATTTTTTCCCCTAAAATGATCTGCACATGGTAAATCTACTGCAAATATGAGATCCTCCCAAAGACACACACTTCACGTGCCCATCATTAACTAACTGCTGCCTCCTAAGAGGGGTAATGTTTAATTCAGTGTTGCATTTCTGCATACAATGTCCTAAAGCCTGATACTGGGAAGAATTCTCAGAAATATGTGAACGGTGAGGAGGGCAGGGAATTAAATTAAATTAAATTAAAAGTAAAAGCTTCTCATACATGCAAGAGGTCTCTAAAAGAGAAGAGTGTGCAGTTCAGAGCAGAGACTTCAAACTACAGGGTGCAAGAAATAGCCAAGTACCTGGTATTAGAGAGTCCCTAGGTATTAGAGAGCTAGGGCATTCAGGGTGCATGGGGGAATACAACCGGCACTTCAGACCAAAACCTTGACTTCAAGCACATGACTTGTGTATACTGACAGCGAGTTTTACACATGACGCATGTACTCAAAGAAGATTTTAGGTGTCGTCACATGATCCTATTCTTAATGCACATACTTGCCTTTTAAATTTCTTGTGTTAAATTGCTCACAATTCAAGACCAAGTAACACTGAAGCGCCCAATACTGCGCGCACACAGGATGTGCCTAACTGCAACATGCCTGCCTTTCCTCCTCTGACTACAGCTGGTTAAAAGTGTGCGTGTGTGCGTGCGTGCACGTGGGGGGCGGGGGGGAGCAGATGGGGATGACGACTTTTTTTTGATTATTTGTGTACACACTTTCTTTAGTATCTGAAAGCATACTGGCCCTGGGAAACAAACCTTGTTTACCAGGGTGAGTCTGCTTCTATCATCTAGAATATGCCTAAGAATCCCAAAGAAGTTTTTTGGGTTTTTTGTTAGGGGTTTTTTTGGATAAAAAGAAAGAGGAGTTACTAATTTTCTTCCACATTTAAGTTTGTTAGCTGTAGCATCATTCTCATGATGATCATTCTCATCATTTAGCACTGTCTGCTAAAAATGAAAGATTCCCATGGCGAGGAAAACTTAAGATGGACCAAAAACACCTTTCTTCTTTCAAATTTTTTAAACAGTTTGCTAATTACCAGCAATAACTTCTCTTCCTTTTTGTTGGTCATACAATTAATTCCTAATGTTAAACTTAGAACACTAAACATTTTTCATAACAGAATGATATTCCAAGAAAAGCACAGGAATGAAACTTCACCGAAGGATTAAGCAAATGAATGAAGCGGGCTCAAAAAAAAAAAAAAAAATCGGAACTTATTACAACACATATATATATTTAACAAAAACAAGTCAACCAGAAAAACTTTAAGTCTTCCACCACTCCAGAACGATATATTGATTAGAATTAAATACAGTACTCCAAAGAAAATCTTATAAAATAAACGAAAATTAAATTTACAAATATTACAGCACCACTTTAAAGAAGAATTAGTTCTTTAATGAATCAATAGAAAAGGACTTTGCTAATGTTTTTTAGATAACAATAAATACGTCAATACAGAAAACTACTGTTTTGACTGCCTTTTTTGGAAGGTGCATTTGGCAAGCACTGGTGTTTGTAGACCTACATTTATCGATTTTTATTTTTGGCTGACTACATTTTGATTATAGGAATGAAAATAGGCTGCTAGATTTGTAGATATTTATTATGATATTTATATGGTTTATATTTTATTTACTGTCAAGCCACTAACAGCAGTGAATAGGTACTTTTTAATTGGGTATACAAATCAATAAATGACAAAAGTCCACAGAAAATTATCTAGGAAAAAATATAATCAAGACCTATCCATCATCTGCCTTTATATTTTCAAAAAGGCTAAACAAATCATTTTGGTACGTCCTGCCCTCATTTTACACTTGATGCCCATAAAGCTTATTTCATATTCACAATTCCAAGAGCAATCCTGAATTTTTGATCTCTTCAACTCTTCTAGAACTTTTCTGTAACTGTTTTAAAGCCAAATGACTTGCAAAGATGACTAAATAAGATCAAAGTTGGATAAAATAAAAGTACCCAATTTTTTTCCAAAAAAACCCTTCTAAAAACTTCACTTTTATTCACTGTATATTTAATTTTCTCTTCTGTGCATCCGCATGCACGCGCGCGCACACACACACACACACACAGTTGTAACAATGGAATATGGCTGCCTTTTTATGTTTAAGGGCTCTTAAAAGAGTACCTAATATTTATCTTGGACACAATTAAATTTAATCCATATATCAGTAATGAAGTAGAGAGTATGAAAAATATCAGCTTGAAACCTCTAAACTATTTCACTTACTATATTGTTTAATTTATGAATTCAAGTATGATCTTAGGATAGGGTAATTACTATTTTCCCGAGGTATGAAAATGCAATTACTATTCAATTTATTTTATATTCTGCAGACTTCACATACTGGCCCAAAGAGCAATTTTCCACTTCAGTCCTGGAAATTGGTATGTGCAGAGATTATCTGGCTGGTTGTTTCGCTTACCAAAATGACTGTGTGGAACCCAGGTGGAGTTTTCTTTGTAGTCAGAGAGGTTTTGTTCTACAGCTGAAGGAAGCCTCTTCCAGTTAGTGAACTCCAGAGTGAAATTAAGGGCATTGTTATTCAGAGAATAAATCCTACACAATACAAAATACCACATAAATTATCAACTGCTATATACAATATCATTAAAAACAATCTGGGGGAAAATACATTGAAAGTTTTAAGTCTTTGTAACAAGTTTCCAGCAATCTGCATGTTAGGCATTAAAAAACATCAAAGAGAATTCTAAAATAACCCTGACAGCATAACCCTTTACTAATGCAATTATATTGTCCTCCATTACTTTTGAAATCAACTTAGACCGAAAGAAAAAGTATCTGCTGTAAAATATATCTGCCTCAGTAACAGACAGTATTTTTCTTAGAAGTAATTGCTTATTCTATCTCTACCTAAGTTTTAATAAGGTCTCCTGTCACCAGGGCATTATTACCCAGTCTTTCAAACACATCCAATACAGAAATTATACTAAAATACATTTACCAACTTATTTATAGAAAAAAGTGAAAAAGCAAAATGTTTTAAAAACCTCAAAAAATGTGTATTTTAGAGTTATTTATATCTGCAATACGACGTGTGAAAAATGCTTAGCAAATACCCATATTAAGATAGAAGGTCTAGAAAGCAAGATTAAACGAGCTATTTTTAAAAATCTGTTCATAGTAGGTACAAGGGAACTACCCATATTTTCACAAAACAGTTTTGTGGTACATACATGCAGACATAAATAAATCCCTGTACTTTTGTTTGAAATCGGTAAGATAAAACAAGATACTGTGAAAATCTCAAATACAACAAATAAAAAAAAAAGTACTGCTTTTCTATATGGCTTGTATCAAAGGTTATTTTATGCCCTTTTTATTATTTCATTAATCAGAATTCATGTACCTCAAGTTTGACTGTGACCAGCAAAGTGTCATTTTTCTGCATTTATCTAAACAATACACTTGAGAGGAAATCTGAGTGCTTAGCTGTCTTTAATGGAATGGTGAGTTTGCCTCACCATTGCTAATATTGTCACTAACATTTATTGTTACTGAACTACATTGACCATTATATCATACAAAACAGATGTACAATGATGAGCTGGTGACAGCTGATCAGCCATAAGCCTAGATGACATTCATTTTCTATTACTCTCCTATTATTTTCTAGGAAGGGGGATGGGGTTAAAGCTAACATTGCATTTACAGTTGCACAAATGTATCAAATCTATAGATTATATTCTGACAAGCAGTTATTTTAAATTGTTTAAAAATAGGCTTGTTAAGTCAAGCAGCATGTAAAACAGCCCTTGTAGCTTACATGACAATATAAAACATTGTCAAATACAAAAGTGTTATGTATGATACAAATGGACAATATTGCTTCCACTATAAACTAGGATTTTTCACAGTATGTTTACTCTTGAAATAATACCTTGCCTTTTTATGTACATGTGTTTTAGAGAATAACAAATATCATTTGTCATGTCAGGCTTGAAATATGATCCTTTAACTATTAACTAGAAAACTAGTGAATATACAATTTCATTGAATCACTAAAAGTATACTAATGGTGAAGTTAACATTGAAAACAGTATGACAATTCAGCCATAATTTTCACATATCGTTTAAGACAGAAATTAATGTTTAAAAATGAGTGGTTGTTAAAATTCAAATTCTTTCTATACAGTTAAGGAATATATGCAACTGGAATGACTAAAACGATATGTGGAACTTTCCAAGGCTACCAAAGTTAATAGATTGTATGTGTGTCACGAACTTAAACAGTCTCAAATTATTTTGGTTAATGCTCATAAATACAAAAGGCTAGAGTTAAAACAGCTAACTTGCCTAACAAAGATAAAAAGGGAAAAAAAGTGAACAGGATAGAAGAAAATATAAACATCTGATATACTTTAAATACCAGCATCACTTCCATAGTACCTAATTAAACATAAGCAAACAATCAAAAGCTAGTTATATATATTTGAAATGCATTAAATTACACTTTGTATATAAAGTAATATTATATTCATGGTACTACAGCAAAGAATAGAGTGCCATTGGCACTTGAATTTTACCCACCCAACTTTGATTTCATGCTGCAGAGATTCAGCCTCACTGACTGCTGAACTAAGAAGTATTTGTGTATTTGAGATTTGTCTCGTACATTACTTTATCATACCTTCACATACTTTTTATTAGTACTTGAGAACCAATAAGGAAGAAAACCCTTCAATTAGACATGCAGAAACACCCTTCTCTGGAGTCACAAAAGACTGAGTCTTAGCTTTTTTTTGAAGGGGGTGGGGGTCTGAGTCTTACTCAAGCTTTTTTGAAGCTTTATTTTTTTGCAGTTTGACTGCACTTTTCTGTGAATCTCTTATTCCAGTCATTTGAAATCTCTGGGAGGTCATGATCTCGAACTAGGTAACTGAATTATAATGCGTTGCTGTGTTAAATGATATAATACATAAAATCTAAGATACAAGATGGTATTCTCTTTCTTACCACAATCTGCACAATAAATTCAATGGACTGAATCCAGACAACAGTAGGTATGGTAGCCACTCCTTATACTGTTCTTGTGCTTTAATGGCATAATTTATAAACTCTGGTAAGTGTTCCTCAGAAGGCAGCAGGCAGTCCAGCTTCAAGAAATGCCGAAACAAAGAAAATTTTTCATGGTGCAGGCAATATCCTAAATTAATCCCAAGTAAATGGATCCTGTGTTTCAGAAGAATAGGAATTAAACCAAAAAACCTACAACACAACACAAAAAAACAAGTTAGGAGAATACAAAGAACATTCAAGACAAAAGCTCTGTTAAAGGCACAAAAAAAAAATCAAACTAAAACATCTTTTACTGAAGGAACATATTAAATAGATGTGGTAACAACTGTTTTTACAAAGCACTGCTATAAAACATTGAGTAGTCTGTAGGTCCCCCCCCCCCAAAAAAAAAAAAAAATCAGTAAATGGATTTTAAAAAAATGTTATTTTATTCTGAAAAATAATTGTAAAATAAACATTAAAAATTATCATTGACATAATTTCTCTTAATAAGTAAAAGTAGATTTTGTGAAAGATGCTAAAGTAACATAGCATTGGAAAATGAAGACATGGAATTATGCGCAGGACTTGTGTAGCCAAGGTGGTGCCAATACAATTTTCCAACAGGCTCTGTATAGATCATCTTGGAGCATCAAGCTGTTTCCTCAATCCCTTATTTTTCTACTGTGACTGCCAAAAACTAAGCCAATTTATCTGCTGAGAGATAAATAAGTAGGAACAGGACAGACTACCAAGTCATTTCATAAATACAATACAACATGTTTACAGATAGCATGGTAATGGGTTATATCTGAATCCTTTACCATCTAATTTACATTTTAATTGGTACCTTAAAAGTAAAAGATGCTTTATTGTAATATTAGTCCCCTATAATCCAGACCACTTGCTTGTGTTGGAAGCATTAGACAAGATAACTCTCTTTTTAATTTTCTCCTTGATGCTGAAACAATGTTATCCAAATCATCTGGCCCAGTGGGCCAGATGAGTGGAGCAAGGCTGATGCATAGGCCAGATACAGACCACAGAGTCATGTCATTTGGCAGTGGCATTAATTGTGAAAGGTTCTGGAGCTGCACCATCAAATTTAATGCTACTTCTGCTGGTCAAGCTGCCAAATTTCCAGACCTCTAGGGAGTCCCATGAGTCAGATGACATTGCTAAATGGGTCAGATCTGGGTCAGCCCTACACTAAAGTGCATTTAGGCATATGGAAAACATACACAAAGCTTTGATCAAATTTCTCTCTATTTCTGTGAATCTTGAGAACACCCTTAAATAGATGGGAATATTGTATCAGCAATTTTTCCCTGCAGAAATGGTTCTCAATAGGGATGCACCAACAGAGATTTTTGGGGCTGATACCGATATCTAATTTTTAAGGAGGCATACTGGCCGATACTGATCTGATTTCCGATACAGTGTGGAGAGCTGCCACCAGCTGGTAAGTCCACTGTGGTGGAACGGGAGGGGGGAGAGAAGGGGTGTGGGTCGGGGGGGTAGATCAACCCCCTCCCCACTCCATGGTGAAGGAGGGAACAAAGGCTGGGGTAGGCACTGCCCAGCCAGGGCGGGCTGTGGGACAGGCCCATGGCTTGTCAGGCGGGGGGGCAGCGGCTCCCACCACTGTGCATACTCCAGAGGGACAAGGGGGAGGGGGTGCCCCTAATCTGCATGGGGCAGGGTGGGGTGGGCAGGATGCAGCTGCGGACTGAAGTCAGGGCTGCACTGGGTGTTTCTCCCTAGGGACTGGGCTCAGGGCAGAGGCTAAAGAGTGGGGCCGCAGCCACCCCAAATTTCACCCTAGCTCTCTCCCAGTGCCATCGCATGCCCAACGCAGCCCTGGCTCTTCCCAGCTCAACCCCCCCACCCCTTTCCCCCAGCCACTGGGAAGAGCCGGGGATTCACCGGGCACACAGTAGCGCTGGGAGGAAGCTATAGCAAAATCTGAGGCGACTGCAGCTCCCTCTGTAGCCCCCACCCCAAGCCCAGGCCCCAGCAAGAAAGCCCAGCACAGCCCCAGCTCCAGCCCACCGATCTGCCCCCCCCACGCCCCTTCCCTCCCCTCCCCCCACAATAGACTTACCAGCTGAAGGCAGCTCTCCAAGCTGCTGGGCTGTTTTCTTTGCTGCCTGAGTGCTGTGCTGCGGCTGTGCACACGCATGGGCATTTATTGGTTAAAATTAATGGCCCCATTAGGCCAATTTTCAATACAGCCAATTTTCTTTATATCGGTACCAATCTGATACTGAACCAACATATCACTGCATCTCTAGTTCTCAATATTTTCAACTCAAGGCATCCTTAGAAAGTGCCAGCTCTTGACTTTCACTAATTTTTTGACTACAGAAAAATACTAGAATATTCGTTCTGTTGCAGGGAACTCAGAAAAATTGCAACAGGTCAGAAAGTTTTCAACACTATGGATTCCTATTTGAAATCTCTAGGTTTATCTTGTGAATCACGTACAAGTGTTCGCAAATCTAACCATACTAATATTGCATAAGACCCTTAAAGGATCTCACAGCACCTCAGGGTGCCACATCACCATGATCATGAATCACTGCCTTAATGTGCCTTAAGTCACATTTTATGTGAGGCACTAGGAGTATGGGCAATAATACATTTTAACCACTTTAAAAGAGGAAGTTAGTTGCTGCTTGGGAACACGCTTCAGCTGCTACGCTACAACTGTTACATCTGCATAATCCTGTAGAGATAAAAGTTAACTAAACCACCCCAACTTTGACCTTATTAAGGAGAGTTAAAATTGGTTTTGCTACACTTCTATCACTAGAGAATTATGCAGATGTCACAGTTGCATGGAAATAACAAGTAAGACATATCTGAAACCTTTAGTATTGATACAATTGTTAAATCTGCCTATACCCCAAGACAGGCTGTGACTCCATTAGAGACATTTTAAAAAGATCTTGCCTTTAACTTAAATACTTCCATGCAAATTAGTTTTGTAGAATGCAATAAAGGGGAGAGTTGGTACTAAATTACTTAAATACTACAACCCTAAATCTCATAAGAGCTACTCCTTTATATAGTAAGCTTAAATCAAGGTTTTTACAAGCTAGGCGACATGTACACACATTCCAAGGTCACCTAATCTGTTTAGTTTACTTCCTCTTGCACAGCAATCTAGATTCTTTTGTCTTCATTAAAAGATGAAAAGGTACTGTCAAAATCATTTGGTTTTCTCTGCCCTTGTTGCAATTAGCAAATAAGTCACATTACCAAATCACTGTTAATTAGTGTGATTTAATGATGCTGTGATAATTGGTCATAATATTATGAATTAAGTGCATGTTAGCTATATGCAGTTTTCAGTTATAAACCAAATTACAGATCTCTTTTCTGAGGCAGTTCAACAACAGTGCCAAATCTGTTACCTGCCACTTCTTTATCAACGTATTTTAGCATAATTATCAGGGGTGATTCAGTTTCTAAACTGTTTTTATCACATGTTAAGGATAGGACAGAACAACATGATGCTTGTGGATTTTTAAAGGCATGTTCTATGAGCATGCAGTACAAAAACCGTAGGCATTGTTATAAACCTGCAAACCTTATACAAGATATGGCAGAGCAGATTTTGGCTATTATCCAGATGCATGATTTCACATGCACAATTCAGGAACTGGATGAGTGCCTGCCTCAAGCAATTCAAAATCATTTGCAGCCTGACCAGGGAAACATTAAGCTATAATAGACACAGTCATAGGGACATGCTTTCACTATTTAAAAAAAAAAAAAAAAAAGAAGCATCCGTACTGATTCCCTCCCTTGAAATAAGCACTTTCAGCTGAAGAGAAATAAATCTAAGCCAAACATTGGTGCAGCATTTTCTCTTTAGGAAAATTATCAAATATGCAGGTTATTTATTATAATTTTGGCACTACTCCTAGATAGAGCAACTCCAGTGAACATGTTTCAAGAGATTCTCTAGTCTTATTGTAAGAGATTGCTATCCTATTAACACTGTACATGTAACTCTGCAGAGTTAATGAGAGAAATGCATTCACATAACTTCCATGCATATAAACTCCACACTACTACATATGCTCATTATGCCTTTTTTTAAAAGATTTGAAACAAACTAGTTTAAGATCAATGCTCATTCCAGTTACAACAAAGAAAAGTTTTACTAATGCTGCTAATTCTTTAAAAAAATTCCACAAGATATCTTAAGTATAACCAACATGCTTACAACAGATTCTTCAAGGTAGTGTAGTCACCCAAATATCCCTTTCGTATTCCAAGAAAACAATTCTCTCTCTACAAAAGCTTGTGCTACATATGTGCGTGTGCATGTGCGCACAGTTTGGTTAGTTTTTAAGGTGCAAATCTACTCTGCTTTCTACTTGTCTTAGCATGAGCAAGGCTCAATTAATATTTGGAATCAGGAAATGATTACAGATAGCCACGTGCTTTACTTGCTAGTAATTTACTGAGATTTGCATGCAATTGAGTACGCTCTTACTACTGTAAGACTGTTCAAATACCTTGGTTAATTTGATTTTATCTTGCTTAAATCAAAGAAAACAGAGCAGGTCAGGATTGGGACAAGAAATGGGAATGAAGAGCTAAAAAAATGGAATACACAAATCCAAACCAGCATAACAAGACTTTCTTTTTTTAAATCAACTGAGTAGGATTGATTATTAAACTAGAAATAAGCCAAACTCTCTATTGCTATAACTTCAGTTACTTTAAGGGTATCATGTCAGCAAGTAAATTTTCTCTGTCAGTCATGCCTCTGTTAGTATGTAATCTAAATTAAAAGCCTAAACAGACAATTTCCCTTTAAAAAGCACTTTAGCTACACAATATTAGTATACATAATATTCTTGCAATGTGCAATACACAGCGAATAAGTTAAGATTGCATCCTCTCAAAATACTTAACTAAACATAACAGCCAACAGAAAACCAAAGTGTGTCCTGCATAATGGACAAGTACTGAATATCTCTTTTGTTCTTAACACCCAATCCAGTACTAGGTCCATTAAATATAACTAAGCTCATTGCTCTAAATTGAATCTAATGTCTATTTATCTTTTATAAAATATGTCTCCAAATAATATGCACAGTTTTGAGATACCCAGGAGTGTCTAGGAGCCTTATCCTATGCCATTGATTTCAATAGTATCACGTTTCAGTCCTTAGTGTTGATGCATTATGTAATGAACAAATTTGGAGAGAAGAGAAATACTGACATAAAACAAAATGGTAGTAACATCTAGGGGCTTTTTTCTCCTCAAAGGTTAAATTTATTATTATGTGGAATTAGGTAGAAGAGATTTAACAATTTTACCACTAACGGTAATAACTGAAATACTGCACTGATGGGCAGTAGGTTTGACCTCCCTCATGAATCTGAAAATACAGAAATGTACTTTCAATATAAAACAAGTTAAAATATGTAATAGAATTGCTACATTATCTATCTATCTATCTTATATATATAAAACCACCAAGAGATGATGATTGTATTATCTTTGCATGCATATATCTACATCCTAGAGACATGACCTCAAAGAATTTTTAATCCAAATGTGAACTGAAAGCTATGTTCTCAAGGCATGAGGCAGCCTTATTTTTGGGAACACTCTAAGACTGGGGGAGGATGTGGTTTGCAAGGAACCATGTAACTATTCATCTCAGGAAACATTCATCTCAAATTCTGATAATGCCTTTTTTTTTTTTTTTTTTTTTTAATAATACACAAGCCTAGCATACAGAGAAAGTAAAACAGTATTTTCCAAGAACTCATTCCTATTGAAGAAGAACCCAGCTAATTAAGAATCTGTTTGATTCAATTACAGCATCATGTCAGGCTCCCAAAAGACAGAGAGATACATTGATAAGGCCTTTTGAAAGTGAAGAAACTAGACTGCAATTATGTTCTACAAGACTCCTCTTCAAAGAGCAGAGCTTCCCAAAGGAGATTTTAGCAAGGTTCTCAGCTCATGTATGTGACCCAGAACCAGAGCACATCATATAAGCACTTACAGTTTAACTCTCTAATCTCAAGACTTGAAACAGAAGGGGAAGAAAGGCATGGGGGGGCGGGGGCATAATGTAGAATTAGTAAAAGCTAGCCAGACATAAATCCCAGGAGAGGTAACCTATGGTAAATTTAAAAAGCAAAAGACGTATACCTACTCCTTTTGGAAAACCATACACATGGGTGATCTGCAATCAAAGATCAAGCACGTCTGAGCATCTGGGCTGTAGCCTTCTTTAAGTAACATTTCCAAGCACTTGTCATTACCACCATAAACTGCTGAATAGACAGGGCTCACTTTGTCTTTTCCCATGTCACAGATCCGACCAGTAACTGGTATCAGCAATCCCAATATGCTAAAAATATTTAAAATTATATTTTAGTGTGAAGTTTTTTCATACATATGGACAAAGTAGATGTTCTTTTTTTCTGATATTTTCTCCTATGGATGTAAAAACAAAGTCAAAAGTGACATGATCACAAACCACCTTTTCAATATTTTATTTAAAAGAATAGCATTTAAAAATGATAATCTGATTATAAAAAACTATTGAACTTTGAACTTTTGGAATCGTTAACATCTTTCGTACAAGACTAGTTGACTGTCACATTTAAACTGAAAACATTTTCAGATTTATGATTTGTTGTTCTAAATACACTTCAATTCTGTATTTGAAATAATCCCTCCAATTTAAATTACCATATTTTCTTGAAGTTAACACACCCTAGAATATAACACACACCTTGTTTTTGAAAGGCAGAATAAAGAAAAAAAAAATCTTTCCTTGTAACTGATATGCTAGAGAGCTCAGCCTGCTCACTGTTCTGTTCTTTGTGGAACAATGCAGATTCTACTTACGGTTTCACCCAGTAGGCATCAAACCTGTTCTTATCCTATTTCTTGCATATAACATGCACTCCAATTTGCAGCAACTATTTGAGAAAAAGGTGTGCTGTTTGCAAGACAATATGGTAGTTTTAGCCAACCAGCTATCTAGGCTGGAAAGTTTGGATTTAGACTTTTACAAGGCAAGTGACAAAATGACAGCTTGATTGAGAGTAGATGTCTTCTCTGTTTGAATTCTGCTCTTGGCTCCTCATTAAGATACCAAAGTGGTGGGAGAACTTCATTTCACAACCTGTGCTTAGAACTCATGTCCTTCCTGACCAGCTAAAACTAGTCCTTACCAGCTCAGATTATTAAATACCTCTCTTAGAAAGGACAAGCAGCCTACCGCTTTGGAAAGCATTAATAGTCATCTCTTGATACTGATGACATTGCCAACTGGCTTTCAGTTTTCAGGAAGACTGTGGAGATGGCTGTGTCAAGACAAGACTCACATTATTTTCAATTTCCTTAAACCTTTTGAGTTTGAGCACAGACCTGAACTTGGCACAAAAGCTTCACTAGTAGCCATGCCTAATAATCTCCTCCTAGTAATGGACAAAGATTAAGTGTTCATATTGGTAATATTAGATTTGCAGCTCGTCTTTGATACCCTTGATCAGTAGGGGCCCACCTCTTCAAAAGGTGTGCCACAAATGAGTCCCACACCCTCCCTGAGTGCCACTCTGATCTTTTTTCTCTGCCTGATTTGCTGCTGTGCTTTCTGCTCTTTATCCTGTGATCTGCTGCTCTGGTTTGTGCTTCCTGCCCTGTTTCCTGCCTGATCCATTACTCAGATTTCTGTTCTTTGCCTAATCTGCTACAGTGCTGCCTATTCCCTCCCTGAACTGCTGTATGCCACACAGAACAGATATCTGTGCCACTTGTGGCGCACACGCCATAGGTTGGCTACTGCTGCCCTTGATCTTAAACACTGGTTTTGCCTGGTTGCATTGGTGGGAAAGGAAAGAACAGCTCTTCAATGGCTGTTTTCTACCCAGAAGAATGGAGGCAGAAGGATCTTTGTATGGACTCTAAATTTTCTTCTTATTCTTCGTCTCTTGCAGGTGCCATTCACTTGATAGAGCTTTCAGGGAGGAATGAGGATATATTTCTGTAGAGGCGTAACTAGCAATTTCAGCACTCTCAATAGAGATGTTGTTGCACATCAGAGAGCTGGAGCAGGAGGGCAGAGGGAGGGTGCTGAAGGAGAGGGGGTAGTGCTGCAGGTGCCCCATCTAAAATCAGTACCTGGGGCTGGTGCCTGCCTCATCCCACCCTCATTACCCAACTTTGTTCCAAAGAAGCTTCACATAGCTTTGATTTACTAGCTGGTTCAATTAGTTAACTGTTTGTGTATGATCACTTTTCCTTCCCAATCATCAATTCTGACTGCAATTCTAATTAGAGAGACTCCTAAAGCTTTCTGTATAACCATAGTTTTTTTAGATACAAATAATAATAAAACATTCATATAGTGATATGCTTATGATACAAGTTGAAGTCTGACCCTGAAGTTCCTCTCTTTGAGAAACCCCGCTGACTCAGAAGTTAAGGTCTGATTCAAGCCTGATCTATGTGTTCATTTCACTGGGAACTCCACAAGGGAAACATGTCTTAAACTATGAAATGAAAATGAACAGAATCAAAAATGTTAAACTGAAAACCAGAATCCACAGCTTACTGAAACACGGACTACATCATCCTTATTCAGGTAGTTTGCAACCTGCTTCATTTGGATACCTGATACAAACTGAATTTGAGCTGTGCAGCTATTTGTTGAGTCTGCTTCTTCAAAGGGTGCTGCTTCTACTCTCAGTTGAAGTTCATAAGTGGTCCTGAGCAGGGGAGGAGAGAACCACTTCCCTTTGAAATAAAAGCCACAGCAAACAGCTGAAGCACAGCAGGAGTCCTGCACAACCGCTTGCTAAGGTTCTCTAAGCCCCCAATTATTTAGCAAACCTTCATCATTGCAGGTGGTAGTAAGGAACCTAACCCTGAGAAGTATTTGTGTAGGACTGTATTTTACTTTCCTTGACTGTGGAAAACTCGCTTTTTTAATTACCAGAATCTTACTTCAAATTTTTTTATATCACTTACTTGCTATGGCCCATTTGGGCTGCTGCATGAATAGGCAATTGCCATTCCTCCTCATTGCAGTAGAGATTTGGATCAGCCCCTTTTGATAATAGTAGTTCCACACACTCAGTATGGCCTTCCTGTGCAGCAATGAATAATGGAGTGGCTTTGTCCTTGGCTTGACAATTGACGTTTGCACCTGACACAAGACACCACACTTAATATGAGAGATCATAATCATAATATAGCAGATAAAATGCAAAAAGAGTACAACAGAGATTACACTGTCAATTGGACCTTGGCTTTTCCATGATTAAACAGCTTTACCATGTTATTAAAAAACTTTTTTTATTAAACCAATTTTCTGGGTATCTTCTAAAATTGCCTATATTTTACAGTGTTACTTTGATAATTAAAGTGCTGTAGTATCATTTTGAATTTGCCTTTTTAGAAAAACGTGTTGCCAAAGCTCCTCCCCCAAAATTCCACTTGGGATCCTGAAGAGAACAATGATTTATGTCAGGGGTGTCACAGATATGGTTCATAGGCCATATTTGGCCTACAAAGCCCCGTCATCTAGTCCACAGGGTTCCTCCTGGGTTGTGGACCAGACCCACGCACAGCATGCAGTGCATGGGGCAAGTCCAGTGCATGTGCACACAGTACACAGGACCAGTCTAGGATGCACACTGCATGTGACACCTACCAGTGTGCAGGGCCAGTCTGTGGGCCCGATTTGGCATAGAGACCAGTCCCACACCACTCATCCAGCCCACGGACTAGCCTTACACTACACATCTGGTCCGCAGGGCCTGGTGAATTCAACAGCCCTGTTTTACATCATTCATTCTTTCTGACTGTTTAAAGATAATCAAAAAGCACAGCAAAATACAGCATCGCAAAAGTCTTCAACCCTCAGTCATCAGTTATTTATAGACTACTGAAAAAAATCAAACTAAAACAACATTTTGCGCTGCAGAATTTTGAACTGCTTTCAGTTAAAGAAGGACAGTCCTATTATTCGATAAACCAAGAGTCTTACCACAACTATAGATTGTTAAGCTAATACTCTGGTAAATTACTAGTAGAGTTTTAACCTCTGATAATAAGAGACGTTCAATAAACTGAACTATAAACCATAGCTATTTCTTTCATTCACACGTTTAAACTGGTTATAGAGTTGATATGTAAATTTGGATTTTGTAATTCCCAATGTTAAACGAAAGAAAAGTTTTTGAATAAGACTGGGAACCCTCACTTGCACACTGTGGAAGAATGAATCAAAGTAAAATAAATGACAGCTATTCTGAAGGAAAGACAAAGGCTTCATTGACATTTTGTTTTAAGTTACTTCCTCTAAATATTACCCCACAAGTATTGACATGCTACAGCAGTTAATCTACGTGTGCTGTTTTAACCAGGCTCAGAGTACACATGAATTAAACAGTCATGATATTTAAATTTTCATTTACCCACGTAAGAGGGCATATACCTTGGTTGTTTCAAAGATACTAAAAGAAGCTTTATTGTAACTTTAGGATTGGAGTGCAAAACCCTTACTCATGCTAGCAGTCTCTTATGCCAGGAGCAATGCCACAGACAACAGTGAACTAATTATGTGCTACGGGACCATTCAGTGTGATTAAGGGCATCATACAACCTGGCCCTTAGCCCTTCCCTAGGTGTTCTTTTCGGTTTCTTACTCTGACCCAAGGAAAGCATGGAAAGGTACCAGCCTGACGAGACTGAAGCATTTATTGATAGTTTCGTATACCTGTTCACAAATGGCTTCACACTAACTTAAAAAAAAAAATGTATTAAGCATCATAAAATTGAAAACTAGAGTTCAAATCAATTTTCTCAGTTTGCACATAGATTCAAGATTAACAACAGTAATGCTAAATGAAAGATGAAAATTACCATGTGATATAAGCACCCTTAAACTCTCCAGCTTCCCATACTGAGCCGCAATGAACAAGGGTGTGATTCCAAAGTCATCCTCACATTCTTTGTTTGCTCCTTTCTCAAGGAGCAATTTAATTATTTCAGTATATCCCTGAAATAAATATTTTGTTTTATTAGAAAAAAAGTAGTGGAATTTGAGTAACCATAATTTTCCATTCTAACTATATAGTGAGCTGGAATATACAACACATTTAATTTTCTAAAGCAGGAGTTGGCAACCTATGGCTCATGGGCCAGATCCAGCCCACAGAGTCACTGGATCTGGCCCACAGAGCTGGGGCTTTGACAGCATTCTCTCATACCAGAGAGGAGAAGCAGTAGCAGCAGGGAGCTTCTCTGTGCTGTGGCAGCAGCTGTGGGGGCCAGATCCTAGCACCCATCTGACTGCCTCTGACTCAACCTGGGTCATTCTGGCCCACAGCCATGAATCATTGCCAACTGCTATTCTTAAGGGATACTGAAAATTGTACAAAAGAATCACCAGATAGATTCATCTTCTATATTCATTCAGCTCAATAAGTACAAACAGGAATTAAAACAGCATGTTAGAACCATAAATTTTATAAGTTGTTAAACTGATTTAAAAAAGAAAAACAAAGGCCATGCCTGTCTCACCTGTGATAATGAGTCTTTTCCAAAAAACGAATGCATCTTACAATAGATTTACTTCCCAAATATTTTACATCTGATCACCTACCTACATGCAATACTTATCATTATTTAAATAATCATTGCTGCCCAACTCCCACTGTAGCTGATGTAGCATACTTTAGCATATTCAGAATGATCATTAGCATCTAGAATAGCTTTTCTGCCCAAGCCTAACAACCATAAATCACCAGAGAAGAAGACAAAACTGCACAAACTATAATTTTAAAAAGGTAAAACACACTATTTACATGGAAATGAAATAATACATTAATAAGTTACCTGAAAAGAAGCTTGGTGCAAAGAATTCCACCCAGACCAAGAATGGGGTCCATTAATATTTGCTCCATATCGGAGAAGCAGCTTTACTGCCTCAGAATGTCCATTTTCAACAGCTTCAAAGAGAAGAAAAATAAGAAAACTCTTTTATGAGACAGGCACACCTGTAAGAGCTGGACAACCGTGGCTTTATCACCATTTTTTCACATCTCAAACCATCATTCTTTAACGGTCCTTTTAAGGACTAGTCAAAATTTATACGTGATTGTGCAGCACTGATTACAACGATTGTTGTGGCCTGATCTGAACCTGAACACAAATACCCTTCTGCTATGTGCTACATGTGAATTTTTCTAATGTGAAACAAATTATATCCAGTGTTGCTCACCTTTGAGGAAAAATATTTAAGATCCAAGCAGGAGATACAGATCATTATGATGCAGGAGTATGATAGTCAGTGGGTGGATAACAGAGTAAAAATATTATTAATCTGATAAACATGCTCTCACAAGGAATACAAGCGTAAATACAGAACAAAACTAAAATTGCTTTTTCTTCCAGCAGGGGAGGGTGTCTATAGGAAACAAAGTTAAGGGAACTTTCTGCTGGAATCTCAGTCCTATTTACCCAGAGATAAGAATTTCACAAGTCAACTATAAACAATCATTTTTTTAAACTATATTACCCTACATATATATTTTCTCCTATACCACCGAAAAGCTTAGACCTGAAAAGTGTCATTTTGATATCTGTCTACAAAACTCTAAAACACCATATAAAGTATGATGTTACCAAGGCAAAATTCTTATCAGTCAGTTCTCTGAGATACAGTGGATCTGGTTCTAACCACTGACCAAGGTAAATTTCAGATATTTCTACTAATGCCAATGACAGTGTTAAATTCTATTAACATGGTGGATTTACTCCCAATTTACACCATGTGATGAGCAATCAGTCAGCTATATTGACCTACTTACCCTGGCATTAAACATGGAAAAAGTAATATTGAGAGTATGTAATTAAATTTAACTATGTACCAATGTAAGCTAAAATATACCAGAAACCCTTGAAAATGAAAGCCATGGAAATAAAATGATTATTGTTTACAGCAAAGTACTAAGTCAGACGATTTAAATATAGATACTAGAAAGAACTTTCTAACCATGAGTTTAGTTAAGCATTGGAATAGATTACTTAAAACAGTTGTGGTCTTCATCATTGGAAGTTTTTAAGTACAGATTAGACAATTTTGTATGGAATCATTCACTCAAGGATAATCCTGCTTTGGGTAGGAGGTTAAACTAGATGTCTGGAGGTCCCTTCCAGCCCTTCTTCCCATACTTTTATGGTCCTAAAAGAATCCTGATTCAATCCCTACCTGTACAACTTCAGGTTACATGAAACAAAAGGTGAAATGAGCCACCCATCTATAAAATGGTATACCACCAACTTTGGTCAATAGTTTACTAGTGAATTGCAAGGCTTCGTAAGTATCTCTAAAGCATCATCAAAAATGTAAAAAACATGGTAAATAGTGCAAGACAATTATTTACAAAATTCCATTGAGGACTTCACAGAATTATGTTGGAAAAAAAAGAATCTGGAGAATGAATCTCAGTGTTAGGATCGGTTCCTAGTATCCAGGTTGTAGCCATATTGGTCTAGAGGAAAAAGCAATCAGGGCTAGTAGACAGAGGTGAAGTCTTTTATCTTTGTTGGTCTAATAGAAGATATCGCCTCTGTGCACGAGGCCCGATTGCTAGGTTCTGTTCCCTACATTTTCAATCCAAACTAGATTTTTCTCATCTCAATCAACAGTGAATTTATTTATAAAAATCAGATCCTTAGTATCTGCTTTAGACGTGCATTACCGCATTTACTAGCAGAAAACATTATGTGATCACAACCTGTATTCTAATTCTCAGGTTGTTAGTGGTGCCTACAACTAGTATGCAGCTTGCTTCCCTGAAGTTGGGCTGACTTTAAAAGACTGAAAGTGGAAAAAAAACTTGCTTCAGCTGTTAAATGTGATACAAGAATGAAGAAGCCAAGGGAAACATGTTTTGTATATACAGCATGACCTCTCCAAAAACAAAGATTTGGTGATTTAAAATAAATAAAGGTTGTGATGATAAGTTATAAGAAATATGCCTGGAAATGAATCCCTGGATCCATTCAGGGGAATGTCCAAGATATGCATGTAAATACTGTTAACAAAATTACTGTTAACAGTAATTATACAAAATTATCTGTTTAACCTCCTCCAATTATGTTGGTTAAACAGTTAACTGATAATAATACAGCAGCTCAGACACAGCTACTGCTAGAAGCCTCTCCCAGGGTCTTTGATAGAAAGGGGCGAGGGAGGAAGAGGTGGAGGTGGTGAGAAACACAACCCATGTGAAGCGAAGCCACAGGTGGCAGTAGCAAGCAAGGGGCTTTCCCAGACCACTACAACTGGGAGGGAGCACCTGAGAAAGACCAGCTAATTGCTTAATGATGAGTCATTAGGCCTTGTGCTTTCCTCTGTATCGGTACTAGTCCCCTCCTTGCTCCTCCCCATCCCCTCTTCCTCCCTCCCTCCCTCCTACCTGCCCTGTCACCTTCTTGTTCCTGAGACACCGCACTGCTTCCCTTGCCCTCCAGACCGCGCCCTGCACTAAATGTTAACTGGTAATGCCATACCGGTACAAATATGCATATCATTTAAACTTTTAACCTTTCACATACCTAGCCCAAGATGATTTCAAAAGGAAGACAAATTTACTGTAGAATCAATAAAGAAAAGAATTACACCAGAGCTTTTGTTATTCAGATATTTCTGTTTTGCATTAGTGGCTCAAAAATGACTCAAGCAAATTTCTTTTGGTATAATATTTCCCTCTGTTCAAGTTTGTTCCAACGCGGAGCTCCTTTTCAAGATAAAAAGCCACTTAGAGTTCCACTTCTTAAGCTTGATTGTTAAAGCTCTTGTCGTTTGCAATATCACGATACACGACAGAAAAAAAAAAAGTATCGATAAACAAGAAAGAAAAGGAGAGACAGATTTCTTTATAACAAAGGCTTTGTGTAGACAAGTCTTGTACTGTACAACATTTAGCAAATTTGGGCTGCAACAAAGATATCAGAGTTTCATAACATTAATAAAAAAAATTCTAGTCCAGAATGCATATAAAAGCTAATTTAAGCCTCAGATGATCTTACCTGGTGCAGAGAAAAAATGGCAAGCTAAAATAGATATCCAAGTGCCAAACCTCAAAGGACATTCAGAATATGGGACATTTTCTATATTAGTTTTATGAAAGTATGTATTTTTCCCCGTTGGCCACCTTTGTATTGTGACCTCTCAGAACTGAAGGGGTCAGTTATTTGGAACAGGAGAATGGTTTATATACAGCTGTCTGTCATGTCTGCACTGGTATGAATGAACTATCAGAAATTGTCAATGTATGAATGAAATCACCTCAGAGACATTACAGAAGACCAATGAAAGGACTTGTCAAGCCGCAGGCAGTGCAAACTGTGGCAGGCCAAAAAGTCTGCAGGGCAAGTGGGGCTGTTTCATACTGCCCTCACTCACCCCGCTGCCAGCAATGAGGATGTCGAGCAGGGCCCCAGACTTTGTAGCAAGTCATACCTACCACTAGCCACACTCCTAATTCTCTGGCCCACTGGTAGCCCCAGCAGGCCAGATGGAACAGCTTCACAGGCTTCATCTTTGACAACCCTCGTGCATGTAGACAAGCTTCTGACTGGTCAAATCCTGTCTTTGTATAAAGAAAAAAAACACTTCAAATTGAAAATAACTGCTTGCTTGCTCATCCAGCCATAAACCTGTACCATTAAAAAGGACCTGAACTTACCCCTTACAATTCAGCTTCTACTGAGAAGTTAATAAATTATCTTTATATTACGATCTAATGCTCTCTGCAATCAGGAGGATAACACCTAACCCCCTTCCAAAGGCTGGTTCTAGCACCTGGAACTGACTGTTGCCAGACAGGTGAAGGAGAGTGAACACTATAACGAAGATTAAAAAAAAAAAGATTTAAAAAAAAAAAGCACAAAGAGCAAGGGCCTCTCTTCTATTTTGCTGATACCCAGTCTTTCAACTCTTCATTAAAACTGATAAATTATTTCTCAGGGGCTAATCATGAAAAGCTGGGATTCTGATTTCTTGAATGTATTGCACATTTCAACATTTTGCCAAGATTGTGAGGTTATACATTTCCAATTGATAGAAGTACAAAAGAGGAAAGAACCTGGCCTAAGGAACAAGCTATTGATATCTTCTTGTCTAAACTGTGTTTAAATCTGTGAAAAACTGAGTAGCTGTGAGAATTGAAGTAGCCCTGTGCATAGCAACTGGCTGCCCAGGCTATCACCATAAGTATTGCTGTCTCCAGCTGCATAACAGGAGTTGCAGAGAGAAGAATGGCTTTTAAACATTTTTTCCTGTACATAGTATTTCTCAGTCATTCTTTTTTTACCCTCTTCTGTCTACAGATTTTCTTGGACACTTCTAGGAGCTGAAAACTTCCCCTTACTCGCACAAGTAATCTATTTCAAATAAAATGAGACCACTGCTGTACACCTTTGACAACCACTCCAGTATGTACAGAGAACAAACCAATATATTAGTTACCATACAGTGCTCTTTTACCATATGAATCTGCTTTTCTCCACAAGCCAAAAATAGCTGCTCTGCTCTCAATTATGGGCTCTTCAGAGTTCTTTAGACCACAACAGGCACTTATTATACCTCACTTGCAGTAACAACTACAGAAACATCTTAAATTGCAAACTGAATTTCTCTCCAATGGTATTTACATGAAGAAAGTTACAAATATGGAATTTAAAAGTTAAGCTTAATGCCTGATCACCTGTATATTTATATATGGAAATTCCCAAAAGCCTGTATAAGTGCACTCTTGCCCCAGTTAGTTCCCACACAGTTACAATAGCTGGTGCCTCTTCCATTAACACTACAAGCATGATCAAGAATAAAAGCTTGAAGAAGTGGGCTGATGCATGGAATGGACTCGGGATAACTCAGATAAGTGGTTTTTCCCTTCATTATATAGCGTAGTTTTACAGTGTCTTTCAAATTATTTGT